GTGCTTTTATGACTAAGGATTATGAATATTTATTTTTATTACAGTTTATTTTGACTGTCATTGAGTCTGCTTGCTCTATGCCTAGTCCAGTGTAGCTACAACTGAGAGAAGTGTGGGAAGTAGCTTACTGAATAGAAAACTAGCTTAAGACCGAGTGGATTGTGTAAGACCCTGCCTCTGGCAAAAGGAAGAGGCGCTATGGAGAGAGTGAAAGGACTGAAATCAGATGTGGAGTTTAGTCACTGTAATGACATATCTGACATCTCTATAGATGTTTTATGTAACCTTGTTGTCCAGCACAAGGTGATGCAGGTTACTGTGTTAGCCTTAACGCTTGCCCTCCCTGGAGGTATGGAATGTCTGTCCATTGCTTGCCCTTCAGCCTGTGAGGTACCTTGTACCGTTCAAGAATTTAGCCAATAGTGAATCAGATGACTTTTTGTTTTTCTCAACACTCAAGATACAACAGCTGGCCAGATTTAAAACTTCTTCCATCTACCAGGTTCTCTAGCTTCAGTGTTTGGGTTTGGTTTTTATTTTTTTTGTTTGTTTTTTTCTTCCTGTATCATTTGGTTTCTGTGCATGCTTCCCTTTCCCTAATGCTTGATTTAACCGAAACAGGCTCTCGATTTGAGGATGTTGAACCTTTGGTACTCAAGTCTTCTTCTGGGTTCTATTTAATTTAATCAGAAAGTTAATTTTAGTTTTCTTTGTGTGTACTGGTGAGCATTGTTTTCAGGCAGTGCTGTTTTCCCCTTCGCATGGGTCAAGTGGAGAAAATAACTGCATTGTCCATAGGTTAGTCTAAAGTCATTACAATTAGGGAGTTGGAAGGGAAGGTAGGACAGCAAATTAAACCTATTTTGAGTGAAGGTTTCATTTTTTCAGTGTTAATACAGACATCTTATGACTGAATTTTGACTGCAACTAGAATTGGTGTAACTGAAACTCTGCCGTGTACTGGTGAGTTTGAGTTTGCTTCCCCCCACCTGTTTTTGTACTCTAAGGAGTATTGTGATAACAAGGAGAGCTCCTTACAATGCAGGATTTATAAAATATTGTATTGATGGTCTTTAGAATGTGACTAAGCACTTCGAAGACATAAAATCTAGGAGGAATATGCTGATAAAGACGTATGATGGGATAAATTCAGAAAAGCCCCCAGAGAGCAGGGTGGGGCAGAAAGATCCCAGTTGCTACATTTATATAGAAGAGCAGCTGACCTGTAATAAAAATGAAGCCAGATGGGGAGGAGAAAGGAGAGAGGAAAAAAAAAAGCAAACACACACACAAAAAAAATACAAAACCAAAGCAAACAAAAATCTCAAACAAACAACAAACAAACCACGTCAGTGTTAACAGAGAAGAAAATGTAGCTCTGAGAATTACTGAGGATCTCCCTTCCACAAGTTACACTAAGGCCCTTTTCCCAGACAATGCTGTGAGGTGGATTGTGTGTGGACTCACTTCTTTGACTTTGTGGAGACCCATGTGGTGGGTCTGAAAGGAGTTTGTTTCTTGCTTGTGCAAGTGAAGATCTGAGAGAATCTAAGAACTACAAGGTATGTTGATTCTTGGGGAATATGTTACTCTCAGAAGTATCTTCTCATTATATTTCAGTCTTTCAACTATGGGACTGTTTATTCCAGGTGAGTTAAGATTTTGGTAAGAGAAAGACAGATTGATAGTTACAAAGCATCTTGTGAAGAACCACCACTGTTCTGGTGAACGTCAGCTTTATGGCCACTTAAACAAGAGTGGTATCCATCTGATACCTTGAATTATTGCAAAGTTTGTGTGACTGCACAGCTAACAGTAATCTATTGTTATTTATTAGTATTTATTATAGATTCAGCTTCTGGCAGTGAAGAAGCAAAACCAATAAACCCTGTGAAAAACCAGAAAAGCCAGAGGAAGGCTTGAAGTGGAAAGCTAAGCTTGTTACTTAGAGCTTTGCATATCCAGATGAGCTAGTCTCACTGCCACCTTGTATGCTGATCTATGCTATAAGATATGCACAGTTAGATAAACAAATTCCACTTCATTATCTCTGACATTTTGAAAACTGACTGATGTGTTTATTACACTTGGGCTTTTGAAACTTGCAGTTGCAGCCTAGATTCCTGTAAAAGCATCTACAGTGTTCCAGTCTTCAGTTTGCTTGAGTTTACTTGTGATACATGTAAGGCAGAATGCTTAATTAATCTATTTGCAATTTTCGTTTTCTGTTTATAAAAATTCTTAGTTCATCAAATGGAAGAAATAGTGCTTTACAACTTGTGTTTAGAAAACTAGTTGGGGTCTGTGTGTGTGTGTAATTGGAGGATTGAATGTTCCCCTTGAAATATTTGAGCTTCATATGAAATTTTAGCTTGGCAGATCCTGCCTCATCTCAATTTCTGATTTCTCATTTCTGTTTTGCTCATTTGCCATTCAGCTTTTATCTAAATGTTAACTTCAATTAATTTGTACGTGTTGTGGTTGAACCCCAGTAGGCAGCTGAGTTCCACTGAGCCACTCGCTCTGTCTCCTTGCCCAGTGGGATGGGGGAGAGAATAAGAGAAGTACAAGTGAGAAAACTGATGGGTTGAGATAAAAGCAGTTTAACAGGGAAAGCAAAAGCCACACATGCAAGTAAAGCAAGCCAAAGACTTGATTTGCTACTTGCCGTCGGCAGGCGGGTGTTTAGCTGTCTGTCTCCAGGAAAGCAGGGCTCCATCATGCATAACAGTTACTTCAGAAGACAACCACCATAACTCTGAACATCCTCTCATCTTCCTTCTTCCCCCAGTTTTGTTGCTGAGCATGACATCACATAGGCTGGGATATCCCTTTGGTCAGCTGGGGCAGCTGTCCCGGCTGTGTCCTCTCCCAGCCTCTTGTGCCCCCCCAGCCTGTTTGCATATGGGGCAGTGTGAGAAACGGAGAAGGCCCTGATGCTGGGTGAATGATGCTCAGCAGTAGCTGAAACATCAGTGTGCTGTCAATGCTGTTTTGGTCACAAATCCAAGACATAGGACCACACAAACTACTATGAAGAAACTTAACCCTTTCCCAGCCAGAACCAGCACACAACAAAATCTGTAACACTGCCTAACCTCTCTTCAGTCCAAAGGTCTCAAAGAAAGGAGAAGGGAGGGTGCAAACTATGAAGATGCTTTCAGTTTGGGATAAACAATTGGAAAATCAAGCCACGGTTAGACTTGTATCAAAAGTGCTTCTTGGTGTGGAATTCTGCTCAAATGAATGCTACTTTAAATTCTCAGCCACTGTTATGCATTTTGCTTTACATGATTTACAGTAAAGCCAGTCCTCTGTCTAAGCAGGTGATGGGGTGACAGCTAACTCTACAGATGGTAGACAACAGCCTTGGCAAATACAGAGGGAGGGAGACTAGTCATTTAGTTGAAAATATGGGTAAATTTGATTTATTTTAAGAATGCCAAATAATATTGGGAGAATAATGTTAGTTTGTGGAAACACAAATTTGGATTGCTCAACTTAAAGACAGTGATATCTTGTAGAATAAGTAGGGTTTTTTGGTCTGTAATTTAGAACCAGGAATTAGCGGGAAGTATGCAAAATCCCACAGCTCTTAGGTTTTTAGTCAGTATTGTTGCTCTGTAGTTTCTGTGAACTGAGACAAACCTTTGTACAGTGAAGTATGTTATAATCTGAGGACTTCTACCCATGTAAAAAAAGCATATTCAGTGAATGTTCTAGCAGAATTTCCCATTATTTATTTTTTGAACCACTGTATGTATAAGCCACCTGTGTGCGTAAAAGGTCAGCTTTACCAGGATAAGTAAATAAATAAATAACAGGATGAATAAATTTCCAGTGGTGTAAAATTGCTAAATTACAGGATGGATTAAAGATTGGATCCAACATTGTGAACACTGGCTCTGAGAGCTGCTTGGTCTTTTAGCACAGCCCAGTATGTATGGGATTTAATACACATTTGTTCTGCTGCTTTAAGCCTCCACTCTTGGACATACTGGATGAGTTTTCTAAAGTTACAGTAATTTGAGGTAACTAAAGAAGGAAAAAAACCCTCTTCCAAGGGTGACTCACTCCAGAGGTAAACACTGAAACTGTTTACCATGTAAGGACAAAAATTTTCTGAAAGCCAAAAGACTCAAAAATAGTTGTGTCCGTTTACAACTGCTAAATATCAAATTTCGTAATTAGCTTTTCTGTTCTTGGGAATGACATTATCTTTTAACATAAGTTTTATCTGTGGAAGACTAACTCATGTGGCTAAGTGAAAATCATTACTACTGTATAAATGCAGCAAGTAAACCAGTACTGTGTAATTACTTTTAAGCAAACATAAAACCAAATGAGAAAAAAAACCAAGGCCATCATGAGTACATTTAATTTTACAACACAGTGATGTGAATGTGCACAAGAAAAAAAATGAAGGACCTGCAGGTACAAAAATACTGAAAATCTGATTTAAGTAAAGGGAGAATAAAGGTAAATGTCTCCTTTCCTTTGCTGTCACTTTGGGAGCAGCTCTCTACAAGATCTGTAACATATTAAGGAATATGGTAAATTATATTTTATTATGTGACAGGTTTGTGGGATATGATAGTACCATCATCATAATTCCTTTGTAGAGATAGAACTGAGTTGGAATAGTTTCTTCATTGATTACCATTGTATTTTTATGTACTGTTTTCAATTACAAGTTCCTTTCAGTGTGCCTGTAATGGAATTTCAAGTAAAAATGAATTTATTGTGGGAATTACACTGTCACAGTGGTTACAGCTGAACATGCATAACAAGGTGCTCTTAAGATGATAACTTAAAAAGAAATAAATTGTTAGCCCAATGAAATTACGGACTTCAGAGTTTTCCTTTCTGTTTCCTACTAGCATAAAAAATAATGTAAAAGGTAGGAGTTTTTAATACGTTCTGATAAGTTCACTGTCTGATGTAAGCTACCATGTTGGTACCTGAGTTCTAAATATTTCCTGCACTGTTTTTTATTTCAGGTCCCAAATCTGATCCCAGTTCTGGTATTTAAGTTGGGAAGACCTTTGGAGCCTGCGCTTTACAGGGATATATTGTATACATTGCCTGCACTGGGTGTACACAAGGTCAGGATGAAACATTTTAGTGAAACAAAAACTGTATCAAGAGAAAATAGTTTATTTATATAAAGAAAGTTATTTACACTGAGCAATTCATACCTTGCTTAAAAGAAATTTGTAAGCTTCAATGTAACTTTGTAATATTTTGCATGGGATATGACACTTAAAGAGTAAAATGCACATTATGCTTTATCTGCACTGAGTATTATTGTATGTATGTTATTATAAGAAGATACTCTTGGAGTCATGCAGTAATTTTTCAGAAAATTACTTGAGTTTCTTTCTGACATTGCAGTTCGATGGTTATCTCCCTGTACTTGATTGTAAAGTAAAGATTTGTAGATAGGTCTTTGTTCTTGGGCATAAAAGGTAATGGTACCGTTTGGTTAAAAAAATTCTTTCAGGTTTGTGTGACTCAGATTCTACATGCCATACACATGCTGGGGAGCACGCCAAAGCTTAGAGCAATTACTCTGCGGCTGATGACGTCCTTATGGGAAAGACAGGTTAGAAAATTCTTGTAGTGTCACTAAGATAAGTGTAGTTCTAAAACTTCGTTACCTCTAACCAAGGAAGGAAATTAATGTTATAACGTTACTTACACTAAGATCTCATTGTCAGCAGTATACTAATATCTCATTATCAGCAGTATAAAGTAAGTGGTGGAAGTGGTGCCTATGTTGATTCTGGTTTAGTGAAAAAATTCAATAATATGTCTTTCATGAAACCTGCTTTTCATTTTGTCAGGTCTCAGACTGGAATTAGGAAAAAAATTGAAGGACATCTTCTTGCTTTTCATAATATGCAGTAAGAGCAAGACCTTAGTTACATGGCAATAATTTGCTTCTCTGTTTATAAAGTAGCAATAGAGATTTGGTCTGCAAAAGCCAGTTAGGTTTCAATGTAGCATGAGGTTCCCATAATGAGGAAAAGTGAAGTATGATGTGCAATAGAAGTCGTGTTTAGAAGCTGTGTAAAAGTGCTAGCAATTGAATCTCCTGTCACCAACTTTTGAAGATGTGATAATAATGTTTAAATTAAATCTTTTCTAGGATCGAATTTATCCAGAATTGCAGAAGTTGTTGGCAGTATCTGATACGCCCTCTTTGTCTGTTGACAACGATACTCAATGGGAAAAGCTGATTGCTAAAGCTGCTTGTATAAGAGACATATGTAGGGAGAGGTAAGTGCAAGTGTCAGCCATCTCATGTCTTTGTAAGGAAAATTTATTTTTTTTCCTTCAGAAAAACTGCATAATTATTTCTGTCTACTCTGTTACATTAATTGTAGGTAATATTTTTCTAGTTGTATGAGAAAATGACTCCAATGTTACTAATCTCAGCAGGTAGTAAGTTTCAGAATTTGTTATAACTAACAGAAAGCATGTGTAAATAATGTTAAAATTAAATGTCTTCATCCTGAAACAAAATGTGCATCCTATACTGATCTGGAGTAGAAACATAAAGCATACAACTTCCAAATTATAAAAAGAATGATGAAATATTAAAGGAAAAAATTAATGATCTGCACAAAAGAGGCCTGTAGCTAGCAGTGTTCCTCAGCAGTCACTGCTAGGTCTGCATCTTCATCAACGACCGGAATGAAGGGTTGGAGTGTACTCTCAGCCAGGTTCCTCATGATACAAAACTGGGAGGAGTGGCTGACACACCAGGAGGCTGTGCTGCTATTCAGTGAGACCTGGACAGGCTGGAGAGTTGGGTGGAATGGAACCTAATGAAGTTTAACAAAGGCATGTGCAGAGTCCTGTACCTGGGGAGGAGTAACCCCATGCACTAGGCTAGGGCTTAACCTGCTGGAAAGAATCTCCATGGAAAAGGACTTGGGAGTCCTGGTGGACGGCAGGTTAACCATGAGCCAGCACTGTGCTCTTGTAGCCAAGAAAGCCAACGGTCTCCTGGGGTTCTTTAGGAAGAGTATGACTAGCAGGTCAAGGGAGGTTCTCCTCCACCTCTGCTCTGCCTTGTTGAGGCCACATCTGGAGTTCCATGTCAAGTTCTGGGCTCCCCGGTTCAAGGGAGATGGGGAACTACTTGGAGGATAGGAAGATGTTGGTGGGATGGAAGCATCTCTGTGACAAGGAAAAGCTGAGAGACCTGGGGCTGTTCGGCCTGGAGAAGACTGAGAGGGCATCTGATCAATCCTTATAAATATCTAAAGGGTGGATGTCCAGAGGACTGGGACAGTCTATTTTCAGTGGTGCTCAGTGATAGTACATGGGGCAATGGGCACAAACTGGAACACAGGAAATTCCATCTGAACCTGAGGAGCAACTTCTTTTCTGTGAGGGTGACAGAGCACTGGAACAGGCTCCCCAGAGAGGTTGTGGAGTCTCCTTCTCTGGACACTTTGAAAACTTGCCTGTTCAGCCTGCTCTAGGTAACCTGCTGTGGCAAGGGGTTGCACTGGATGATCTCTGGAGGTCCCTTCCAACCTCTACTGTTCTGTGTTCTTTTGGTCTATTCAATGTAAGTTTGGGTGTTTTTCTGAAATGGATATTTTGTCACATGCAAATTACTAGTCTTTATTCAGATATAATACTGATCACAGAACACAGTTGTACAAGTCTAACAGGGTGATATGTTGATCCTTTACTGCTCTAAACAATCCATGAATATTAGTACTTGATAATTTATCGTTCCTGTAAAGATTGTTTTTAAACACAGTATCAAGAAATTAAAAAAAAAAACACAGTTAAACACAAACCAAGAAATTTAAAAAAGAAAAATGAAAAGCAGGAGAGAAGTCTCAGTGCAGTCATAATATTCTTTTTGCCAGGTAAGTGGTGTAGTTAGTGTTGAGGTATAAGCTTGTTCTTGATGCATTTAGGAATTATTTGGAAGAAAGTGGAAGCAAATAGGTGAAGCCTGAATGTTCCATCCATATAAACCACCTAGCCATATACTATTTAAACCAAGTTCCTACAGAAACAGTGTGTGGAACTTCTGAATCAGCAGTTGACACGTCCCCCACCACTGCTCAATGGAACTGAGTGGATACTAGAAGACAGGAAAGCAAGCAAGCAGCTATGTCACTCAGCCTTAGAGCTCTGTGTATGTTGTTTTTTTCTTACAGTTTTAGTCGTAGTTAGCACTTAAACAAAACCAATATTTCATGAATTTTTGTGTGTAGAGTAGAACCTTGTGTGTATGCATGAACATTGCCTCGTACTTTCACTTTTCCTGTAGGCCATACCAGCATGGAGCAGACATGTTGGCTGCAATTTCTCAGGTGTTAAATGAATGTACAAAACCTGATCAAGCTTCACCCGCTGCCATAGTGTTACAGGGTCTTCAGGCACTTTGTGAGGCTGAGGTAAGATTAAGTGGGTTTGTCTCTCTGTTTCATGTTTTGCTTGTGGATCATGGACTTTTTTTCCTAGTTGGCTGGGTTTTTTTAAGAGTACACAAAATTGTTGCAGAATGTCTTTTTTCTTCTGACATACTTAGTTCCTCTCTTCCCACAACAGTTAATTGTTCCTGGGAAATTGTACTGTGAACTTCTTCTATGGCAGGTCAGCCCTTCAGTGCACTGGTTGGAATTTTAGGTCAGCTTTGTAGTTTGTTTCAAAGACAACCTTTCATGCATTTTTCCTTGAAATTGAAAAAGAACAGCTTTTTGGCATATAATTTTATTTGGCTGAAAAGTATGTAAATAATCTATTTTCTGTTACATTCTTACTGGCCTCCCATGCTGTGTCTAACTTACATAGTGTACCTTACAGAGAATGAAATCACTTGTAATGGGAGAGTTTCTGTCTTACTCCAATGCATTAATTATTCTGACAAAGAGGGATAAGTAAGCACTGGAACATGCTGCCTAGAGAGATTGTGCTGTCTCCATCCTTTGAGGTTTTCACGTTCCTTTTGGATACAACCCTGAGCAGTGAGTCTGGTCTCATAGTGACTCTGCTTTGAGCGGGAGGTTTTACTGGGAGTATCCTGAGATCCTTTCCAACCCAAATTGCCCTGTGATCCTACCATATCCCTGAGTCAGGAGCCAAGGCTCTTTGTTTCCACAGTGATATCCCAGACATGGTAATACAGGCACAGACATACTGCGAATCACACTATAGACAAACTGTGAACTGTGCAGGCCATCTGAGTTAGTGGACTAATGATAGCCTGCAGGAATATTTGATTACCCATTCTCTGCCAAACAGCAATTTTAAGTTTGTCCACTTCATCACTTTTAGTGCAGTGTTTACTGCAGTGAGGCCAATCCAACAAAATCCAGCCATTGCCACATTATACGTTTGAAATTACATCAGCAGTTCAAGAACAACAAAATAAATGCCTAGCAGTCCATACACATTAGTATTCAACATAGTTAAAAAGCTTCAGACAATGGCTACTCAGAACCAACTTATTCAGGGTAATTACTGTGTTTGCCCTTGCAATGGAGTTTGGCTTTTCTTAAGGCCTTTTAGCCTTGAATGCTCACCTTAGTATTTAAGTAGTGTTTTTCCAGGCTGTTTTAGACTTTATTTCCTGTAAGGCAGGACCTAAGCCTGTGACAGATTTCACATTCTACCACAAAAAATCTCATTTCAGAACAGATGTACTCTGCTACTCTTGAGAATTGGAAGGCTGATACTATTCCAGGTACTCAGGATAGAAGGAAAGAAGGATAGAATCAGTTTTTGGATGGGCATCAATTTTTCTTGTCCTAATTCTTCCAGGCCCCATTCAGCTTGCTTTGTTTCCCCAGTTTCATGCCAGTCTAATGTTCTGAGAGACCAGGTCTGCCACTCGGCTATAAGGAAACTTTAATAGAGAATTTTTTTTTGTTTTAGTAAACTGGGTAACCATGTGGGTTAATTAGTGCAGTCTGTCCTGTAATTAGTATTGAGCCTCCAGTTTGCAATGCAGAAACCTTAAAGGGCATAGTCATAGAGGTTGATCGGGGGGTTTGTTTTGGTGCTTTCTCTCTTCCACTTCTCAACAGATAACCATGAGAAAGGCATTTAGTCTACTTGTGCTTCTTCATGTGCCTCTGCATAGATTCAGGTTTTCAGCTGACACCTGGTTTTTAGTCAAATTCTGCACTAGTATAACAAGTTGTTTTCATATATGTAGTGTTGACATAGTTAATGATGGAACCCAGTGTGACTTTGCCAAAAGCTGAGTCCTGAGAGTTTCAGTGAGTCTCCTTTGTAAAAGTAATGCTACAATAAAATGTGGTCTAGCATTCTTTTTTTTTTTTTTTTTAGTTGTGGAAGAAGAGTTTTCTGTTCTGTTGACTGTGGTAATTGTTTTGTGTAATGGCTTTAACCTGAGTACATACTACATGGGTAGTATTAAGAGTATTAGCTTAGCTTTTGTGAGACTTGCAAGAAAGGCTGGACCTCATTCCTTTTTCAGTTGGTAGGGATAACAAAAGGCCTTTGATGAAAAGTGCATAGTGACTTGCACTTAAAAAATGTAAAATATGCATTGTTTTTGCCAAGCCACATTTCCTATTTCAGGTCAGATACTTGCTTTTTTTCCAGAGATTTCAGCAGAAGCCAGTGTAGTTCCTATGAGGCCATCTATCCTGGCATCTAAATAATTTCATGTATTAAGTACTGTATGCAAGCCGACAAGCATTCAAGAAGGAAAATGTTAAGCAAAGTGTTTAAAACTTGTTTCCAGCATTTTTGTGGAAGTGCTCTTTATTCCCTTGGTCCACATAAATTTGATTGATCAGAAAGAAACCAGCAGTAATGAACTGAAAAGTTGTGTGAGACTACATTATGTTGAGTTGAACATGCAGTAGGAATTACAAAGCTGAATGTTGTTTGAACAGTGAACACTTAAAAAAATATACTCTTAAAGTGGTGAGGTAGTGTTGCAGTGTTACCAGAGGATCATTACCTTCCTTGTGGGCTCAAGTTTCTGCCAGTTTCACTTTCTCAGTTCCTATTTAGTCTTTATTGCCTTTATGCCTTACTTTATGTCCTTGGCCTCGTAGAGTTAACATCGTAACTTTATTTGAACTCTTTAGAAGTGTAAATGCAATTCTGTGCTGATCTAGTGTTGAAGGGACCCACCAGGCTCCCAGGAGGAGCTCTGTATAGGTAAGGGCTTTTCCACATACTGAATGAGCGAGAAAATAACTTGGCTAGAAACCTGACTGACCTGCATTGTCTAATTGGTGTGGTGAATATTGACCATCAGAATATTTGCCATTTTATTAGATTTCCCCATCACCTGCTACTGCTCCTAAAAGTGCTAATTCTTTTATATTGCAAAAAGAATTAAAGAAACTTGTGCTACTAGTACTTGTAATCTGTTAGCAGAAACTGGAAAACTACTTGTGTAATCCACAAAAAAGAATTCCCTTTTTGTAGCTGAGATTTCAATGTAAGCATTTTGCATTTGAATGTGGACATACTCTGTAGACGAAATGATCATGGCCAAACTTTTTACTGTGTGGATGGCATTGAGGAATGATTTGGCTGTTAATCCTCAGGATTAATAGTAGCGCTTCTGCCTCTGTGTAACCATCATGTTGTCAAGTCAGCTGGAGTATTGGGGAAAATGTGTTTCAAAAAAGGTGTTTTATTTTATTCCTAAGATGGTATGTGTCCACAAATGTCACAAGGCAGGTGGGGGCATTTTTTGTTATCACAGTGTGTGTCAGATTCCAATAATCTGATCAGTTTTTTATATTCCATGCACAGGAGGGTGTAACGTTATAATATTACACTTACTAATTTGAAAATACTTGTTGCACAGAATTTCTGATTTAGCAGTGATACAAAATATACTGAAATCGTGATACAAATATAAGTTACAACTAGTGAAACACACCTGTGTCTGAGTGACTTCTCACTGTCATGGTGCTGAGCGACTCTAGTCACCAAGGAGGGGTATGTGGGTTATATCCAGTTTAAGCCTGCTGCTGTCCTCAGACTTCTTTTGTTGACTCTCTAGGTTTTATACTGAGCTATGTATCTGCTGCCCCATGTGCTGGTCTGACTGACTTAGGACATATTCACTCTTTAATGAACTGTAGAAAAACAGTTACATCATCAGTTGTTCCATATCCAAAACAAAGGTCCTCTTCATGTTGAGTCTGTTTCTTTGCAAGACCTGTGGTCACTACCACCCTGCCTTATTCTCTGACCCTCATAGGCACAGCACGTTTGTCCACCTGAGCCTCCCTCCATTGTAGGAGTTTACTGGTGAGTCACAGTGTGTAGAATTTATGCAGAGAAGTGCTATGCTGTTTACTTCTTTGCAAGTTTTAGGTGTATCTGTAACTGGCTGTTAAGTGTAACATTTCACAGTAGAGGACCTGTCTGGTGGGATTTGCTGCAATTGCATGTTCTGGAAAGATTCTGATAGATTTTTGAGTGAGATTCTGAATTTCAGGCAATGATAGAATCGTTTAGGTTGGAAAAGATCTTTGAGATCATTAAGTCCAACCATTTACCTAATACTGCCAATTCCACTGCTAAACCATGTCCTTAAACTCCTTATCTACACAACTTCTAAACACATCCAGGGATAGTGATTCAATCACTTCCCTGGGCAGCCTGTTCCAGTGCTTGTCAACCCTTTCAGTCAAGAAATTTTTCATAATATCCATCCTGAACCTCCCCTGGCACAAATTGAGGCCATTTTCTCTTGTCCTGTCACTTGTTACTTGGGAGAAGATCCCTAGAAATCACACAAGAATCTAACATCTTAACCTTTCTCCTGAAGGGCACTAAAGTAGCCTGTATTCCTGTCTCATGGCAATGTAGGCCGTTATCCCACAAACATACAACCATACACCTGCACTGTTTCAAGGTTGTTATTTTTATATATTTAGAAAACTTTCCCTTTGGCATTCTTTAAGAGCTTTCAGTTTTCAGAACACTACTATTTTATGATTTCTGGATGCAGCAATGCAGTTTTTCAAATATGCCCACCTTAACTGCAAAGAACCAGAATTTAATTGGGACTTTTTTAGATTAGACACATGGATATTACATTACTGAATTAAGTTTTCATGTTTGAGCTGGCAGTTGTCACAGTGCCGCATACTGAGAAGACAGGAATACCGTGGACAAGAGCATCATTGTTGTATCTTACAGTTAAGACCCTTCATGGTGCTCAGTCCTACCAGCATTGCAGTGTTCTGCAAGACAATGTAGTACTGCCAAGCTACCTCCAGTTCTTTGAGCTTATAACCTGTCTAAGACAATATGCACACCTTTGGACTTTGGACAACTAACTGGTACGATGCATCTGAGATTTTGTCTCAGTGCCTGGCCAGTACCTCAAGACCCCATCCATACTGAAGATTCTCTTCAGTATTTTTTTTTACTCTACTTTAAGGCTTTA